CAGCCACTGTCCGTCATGCTCAACCCTCCGCGCGGCAGGTAGAGGGGTCCAGCGCCGATCTAAGAAGTCCGCGCAGACATCCGAACGCTTGTGTTTACACGGGTTTCAGGCGCTGCTTGGATATGCGCACGTGTGTCTGAGGATGGGGGCCGGGTTTCCTCCCGGGCCACTGCCCCCCCCACCCTTTGCCTCCGCCTATGCCTCTTCATCCAGCCCTTGCCCTGCTGCTTTGCCCACTCTTTCCCGCCCTCTTCTCCTCTCCTCTCCCTCCATGCTTCTCTTTCTCTCTCTCTCTGTCTCCCTCTCTCTCTCTCTCTCTCCGTCTCTCTCTATCTCCCTCTTCCTATCTACATATATGTATATGTGTATGTATATATTGTGGTGTACATGTGTATATATATATATAGTTGTTACGTATGCTTGCATTGGGGTTCAGAGCTGGCACTAGCACTGCATTGGGTTAGCTTGATGGTCAGTTCCTGACCCCAGACATCCGATGTCCTAGTTTGTTCTATGTGGGTGGGGGGCCCCCAGGCCATTCCACCCTACCCCTCCCTGGGGATCAATGTGTCTTCCCGAGGCCCAGCAGCACCACCCGGATACCCAAACGAAGGACACACATTGTCTGATTCAGTAGAAGAAGAAGAATAAGAAGAAGAAGAAGAACATTGTATGAACGTACATGTTTGGAGCTCAGCGCGGATTTTTTGGATCGGCGCAGGCCCATTCATGGCGCTCGGAGCTCGCCAGGGACGGCGCCGGAGGCGTCGTCAGGGGTGCCCAGCGCAGATCCAAGAAACCCGCGCGGAGCCCCGAAAGTTTTTAGTGCTCCCTATGCTACTCGTGGTTTCCGGACGGTGGCTCACGCGGCGCCCCTTGATTCAGGATAGCGCCCCTCTAGGCGGAGGAGGTTCCAGGAAGTAGCCAGGGGTCTCTGGAGGTCCCTGCAGGTATCTAGAGGCCCCAATTCGGGCCGACACATGGAAGGTATCCCGAAACCATTTCGAATTTGCGACATTCGATCCTTGAATCAGTCGCCACGGAGGCGTCCGGGCCGAACACAACAGAAACAATGTTCCTTCGACCCTGAATCAGTCGTCCTCGATCGTCAGCTTGATCCTTGGTCCTAGCCTGGATCATCGACGGTGGGTCCGAACCTCCATCCTGGACCCTGGAAAGGAGGATCCAAGGCCCATGCTCCCCATACCCCCCCCTTGTGACATCCCCTGCCCTAGAGTTCGGTCCCTTCGATTCCGTTCGGTGTCCGAGCCCGCTCGACTGCCGAATAGGCCCCGAACCGAGCCCACTCGGCGGCCGAACGGGCTCAGTTCTCACGGCGGTATCGGAATTGCGCCCGTTCGGGGGCCGAGCTGGCTCGGACGCCGAATGGTCTCGGAGGAGAACCCTGTGTTGACCCCACGTTTTCGTAGCTTGTCGCGCCGCTGGTTCTGGCCCGCCACGCTGCGGCGCGACACACTAGGCACGCCCCAGTCCCCGAGCATGAGCTTTCCGAGAGCTCCTCCCAGCCTCCCGCCCGACGAAGCGGAGCGACACGCCATCAGTTTGCAGGGCACGGCTTGTCGCAGGGGCCTTTCGTGGCCAAGAGGGGCGTGACGATAGGGGTGGCCAGGGCCATGACATTTCCCCCTACTTCATGGCCCCCCCATCTTTCTTCGAAACGTCCCGCGTTCCCCCCTTCGTCTGCGCACGTGCCTCGGGCCACGATTTGCGAACCCCCACCCTGGACGCCCTCCGCTTGGACGCATCGGTCGGCACCGGCCGGAGCCTCGGCGCGGCGATCCGATCTCGATCCGGCCCGGGGCGATCCGCTGGCGATCCGATCCGTTCCCGACCCGATCCGATGTCGTGGTTCGATGCAGCTCAGGCCTACCCCCCTTCGGCAAAGCCCGGGGGGTCAGGCGACGGTCCAGAACCTCGAGTTCTCGGCCAGCGGGACGGCCACCGCGCCGCCCCTGAGCACGCGCACCAGCGCGGACCCGTGCGGGGGGAGCCGCCGTTGTCGTCGTCGTTGATCAAGGATCGAGGTATTCCCAGACCTCTGACGACTCGTGTGTTTCATTGCTGTGCTTTTCTCCCACTTCGGCCTCCGGGGGCTACTCGGGCCCTAGGGCCATCAACAACGAATCCAGCACGAAAGATTGCCCCTTGGGATGCGGCCTGGAACTATGGCGGCGCGGATTCAATATCGCCCGATGTCTGGGCTAGGGCACTTGAGAGCGCCCTCGAGACCATGGCCCGATCGGTTTCAAAGGTCTGGCCAACGGAGACCGCAGGATTCGAGTACGTGGGGGATCGACTACAGAATCGATTTGCCACAGAAGTGTTTTTCGCTGAACCTACAACAACAATACGTAACCTGTTCTGTAGATCTACGGAGCAGTGCACGCAGTTGTCCTGGATTCGACGAACAAATCAATGTTGGGGTACATCAATTATGTAGTCGATCTCCTACTCGAAGGATGGGCTCTGTTGGGGGATCCTCGAGGTGTGTGTGTATGTGTGTGGATCCGCGGGCAGGCCCGCTCTTTCCAGTGCCGCGCGAGCAGGCATTTTTGTTGTGTGCCGAGTGCCGAGGGCACTCTGTGGAAGTTCGCCCCGGAGGAGGGCCGCGAGGCGGGTGTGCAAGCGATGCCGAGCTGCACTAAGCAAGCGCATGCTGTGTTATATGCAATGCTTCCTTTCGGCGGCGGGCGCGGGGAGGAAGTGGGAAGTGGCGGGCCTTCTCAGAAGGCTCGGCAGCCCTCGGTCTGAGGAGTTCCCAACGCCTTCCCCGAAGGCACAGAGAACTTCTCAGAAGGCTGGGGGGCTTCTGAGAAGCCTCGCCGCCACAAGAGAAGGCCTTCTCCCTTTCACTTCCCCACCCAAGTGCGCCGCCGATCTTTGATTTTGTTGTGCGGGGGCGTTCGCGCGTATATGGGCGCACTCACGTAAAGGATGTAAGCGCACCTGGCAGTATCCGTGGTGTCCTCGTTTCGACTTGGCCAGGCAAACTCAAATTTGTAGTGGCCCGCTAATTGGGTCGCCCAGTATTGGTTGCATGCATTTTCACGTGCACTCATTGGTTTCAAGCTTGCCTCGGTGAGTTATGTATGGTTGCGCCTGCTCCCGCCACCTATCCGCCTCCTGTTGCGCCTGCCCCCCCCCCGCAAATTATTGCTTTGCCTGCTTCCCACAGGGTGGCGGGGTTAGAACTTCAAGACCACAGCGGTCGCATGTCGGACATGCCGTTCGTGTGTGCGCTGGTTCTCTGGTGCACGTCCAGACGGGCCCTCCTCCCCGTCCTCCCCAGGCATCCAGGGTTTCTATTTCTCGAGACGCGAGCCCCCGACCTCTCGACCACTTCTCAGGGACCCGTCTGGTTTTTCATCCGAGTCACTTTCTGACGGTCCCGAGGCCCTGTAAGAGCCCCGAGAGGCCAAACACTATGAACAAGTTTCGTCCCGATGTTGTCGAGACGCCCGATTTCTGGGTCGCTCTCCTCCCGCTCCTCCTCCTGCTCGCCAGAGATGCCCCTGGGAAGGGACTGTCCGTGAACGTGAGCGTGGCCTTCCAGTACAAGCTGGACCAAGACGGAGTCACCCAGCCCCATGCAGCGCCTCCGCCTGCGTTGCTGTCCTGTTTTCTCTCCAGGCTCTGGCGCTCCTCCGGCCTGGAAGCTTCAGGGTCCCCTGAGCGGGAACGTTGGCCAGACACGCGCAGAGGGGGGTGGGGGCAGGGGGGGAGGCTTCTTGGAAGGTTTCTTCCTCTGTTTCAGAAGTTCGCCCAATTTCTGTTTGGGTCCCAGCTCTTGGCGTACGCAGCTGGTTGGCCCTCGGCGAAGAAGGTTGAGACCTCTCCGCTCGACATAGGAAAGTTATGTGTGACGCCGCGACTCTTGCGGGGTTCAGCCAGGGAGGGAGATGGAAAGGAGGCGCATGAAGTGTCGAGAGGTCGTACAAGTCGTGGGGCTCTGCTGGTGGGAGCGCGGAGCCCACTTTGGGGTCCTGCCACAATTGCGCCCCGGGGGTCTGCGGGGAGGCGGCGGGGGGGGGGCCTATATCGGGGGCAGTTTCAGTCTAGTTTCAGTCTTGTGTTGGTGTTCGTGTCGGCTCGGAGACCCACACAAGACTGAAACAAGATCGAAGCAATATTGAAACTAGACTGAAGGATTGTTGGAACAGTACTGAAACAATACTGAATCAATGTTGTAGCAAGGATGGACAACCTGAAGTAATAATGAAACAGAGATCTACACAAGATCGGCACAGCGCTGGACATCGTACTTGTGAACTCCCATAGAGTGAACCACTCAGAGGCCTGTTGCATGTAACATGTAGCGATATTTCACGCGAACAGTTGTTCCAGTCGGTAATTCTCATGAGCTCTTCATTGATTGCTGTTTCGGGCGCTATATCCCCCTGGTCGCTCTGTCATTATTTTTCACTATCTCTCTCTGTCTCTTTCTCTCTGTCTCTTTCTCTCTCGCTCTCTCGTTCTCTCCCTCTCTCTCTGTTTCTCTCTTCCACTCTTTAGAATTCTCTCTCTCTCTCTCGCTTCCATTTTGATGGCCTCTCTCTCGCTCTCTCTCTCCCCGTCTTGGTTCGGAAATAAGTGTGGAAGCGCGCATCATTGAGAGTTAAGAGGCTATACTGTTGTACTGCTGCTTGCAAAACGAGCACCAGCCCGGAAGCCACGGAACGTCAATAGCTAAGCACGAGATATCGATCCCCAAGAAAGACGAAGGCGACGAGTTGGTAGCCGACATGGAAGGGCTGATCCCCAAAGTTGCAGCCTGACGCTCCATGGGGGGTCTGGCGCGATGAAGCGGGATATCGTTTGGCGCTCTGTGAAGCGTTGTGACTACAAGCCCTGGTCAGACTAATGGTTATTCTAGTGCAGTGGCTTGGCTCTGTCTGAGAGGTCCGCTCATTGCCTTACCAAGTACTCGTATACACCAACATGTAAGTCCCGCGTTCGAAGTAGGATGTGCAGCCTAGACGTGAAGACAGGGCAAGTTGAAGTCGTGCGGACAGTCGCTTTGACGGTAGAAGCCCGTGGCATGATCAAGCAGTGCGGGCATCTGCGCCACGTTAGATGTGAGTCCGCAGGAGGCGGGCTTAGTGTGCACGTGGAGATGGCCCGTCTCAGGCATCCGACGTCATGCTTTTACAGCACGTGGCCCCCAGGCACCTCGACACCCTCTCAGGTACCAGCTCTTCCTCCCGAGTTGTTTACTGATGGGCCCGGGCCGACAACACGTCTTCCAGATGCCGAGGGTTGCAAACAGCGATCCGATGTGTCCAGGGCATTGCAGGTTTGAGTCTGGGCCGCAATTCACTAACTCTGAGCACCGCATGCTGGATCTATTAGGCCAGCGCCCTTCCATTGCAGTCAGCGCCGCGCCCGCGCCACCCGTGCAAGCGCCCCCCGCCGACGTTCAATATGTCGCCGCGCTGTTTGTTTCGACGCTCTGCCTTTCGTCTTTGGGAGGGCGCCTCGGCAACCAGGGCAAGCGCCGCCTCGGATGGATGCAGGGTTTGCCGTGGGGTTTGCCGCGGTGCCAGTTGCGTCTGCTTGGGCGCGGGGCGCAGGATTTGCTGTGGGTATGCCGTGGTATCGGCGTCGTCCACTTGGGCTCGTCGAGGTGAAATTGCGCGGCGACAGATGGAGGCCGAGATAGACCGAATGCCGCCAACGCTGCGATTCCGAGCACGCGCCTCGGAGGAGAGAACCATGCCGGTACCGATGCGTGTCCCTCTGTTTCGCCGCCTCTCGGGGGCCTCCTTGGGGCGTCGCCACGGCAAAGTTTGGGGAGCAGCGGTATCGGTACAGTAAGTGGCCCTCGCTCGAATCCCTAACGCGTGTTCATGGGCTGCCTCAGCTTAGGCCGTGACGTGACGTGACGTCGTTCTAAGCATTACAGCAAGATAGCTTCAGCCATTTATGGTCTCTAGACTCTAGATCGGTGCCATCGGGCGAGGGAGCCATTCACTCGATTAGTTGACCCTTACGGGCCGAACTGTCTCAGAGTCACTCCATGGGCATAGTCCGATCTGGGAAGTCCGAGAAGAATCGGACAACATGGGGAGTGTCAACTTCGTGGTCTTCTTTTGCAGCCCCAAGAGTGCAGGGTATATTTCGATCCGATCGATCCGATGCAAGATCGATTCGGGATGGCCCGATCCGTTTCGATTTCGGTATTCGGCGATCCGATGTGCCCCAGTCTTTGCTGCATGGTGATGTTGTGCATCCTGACGCAGCCGATCCCATTCGACCCTGGCTCCGTGCAGGTGCGGCCCGATCCGACGCACACTCCGATTCGATCCGTTTTCCCGATTCGGTGCAGACTGATCTTTCCAGCCCAAACGTCAGACGTCGTGCGTGTGCTCAAGGCTCGGACCCCACGGCTCTTCTGGAGCTGCTCGTCGGAGGCGGCTCGTCTCAGTTGTTATTCCCGGGAGTCCGAGAGCGGTCCATTGGCAGCCCAAAAGGGCTTAAAACAGAGGCCGTCGTTATTTGTGTATTGCTATATTTGGCATTGTGTGCACCTCCCAGTCCCATCGGTCGAGGAGGATCGATGAGGAGGAGGAGGATCGGTGAGGAGAAGGAGGAGGAGGATCGAGGAGGCGAAGGGACCAGGAGCGAGGACAATCCAGGAGGAAGGAGAAGGAGAAAAAGAAGGAGGAGGAGGAGGAGGAGGAGGAGTGGTCAGGCTTCGGGTTGCGCACGGACAGCTCCCCCAGGCAGTCCCGGCTGGTCTCAGCAGGCCCCCCGACTAGTCCAGGGCGGTCTCAACGCCCAGGCGCCGAAGCCGCCCCGGACCACTCCGCGGGCCTGCTGAAACCAGCCAGGACTACCCGGGGGGCCTGCTGACCGCCCGGGGGGCTGCGCGCAGCCCGAAGTCTTGTCAATCAATCGGTTTCCCCGTGGCAGGTTTTTCTGCAGTCGGGCCTGACTGTCAGGTCGGCCCTGCACTACCAGGCGTGCATGTGTGTCGGGTGCACCGCATCTCGTGTCATGCCCTCTTTGGTGTTTGGGGCACGGGCTGCCCTCGGAGGAGGCCTACGCCCCTCGGGTGTCCTCTGCAATCCGCCCCGGTTGGTCCGAGTTTCCTTCTGGGTCGTCCCGTGTGGATCTATCTGCATTTCTGCCGAGTCTCCTCAGGATCGCTCCTCGCCGGCCAGCATCTCTCTCGCCCCCTGCGCTCAACAAAAAGTGCCAACAGGATCCTCGGACAAGGCACGAAGCCCCTTTGGGGCCTGAGTTGCGCCCAGATGCAAGAGGAATGCTGAGAGAATGCCCATGGACGGACGCATGCAGACCTTGTCCAAACAAGTTGTGGCCGCATGGGCTTGCAGACACCGCGAGTCTCAGCCGTGCGCCGTACATGTTCCCAAGGTCGGCGCACTCTACGGAAGGGCGAGCACGAACTACGAGTCCCTCTTCCTGGTCAACTCGCGGGCGCGCCGCTCTTCGATCGAATGGTCAAGACGCGTTCAGAGAGAGGAGAAGCGACCCCACCACCAGCGAGCCTTGCCACCCCGAGCTGGGGATCGGCGAAGACTAGGGCAAGACGCCGCAGAACAGGGGGACCAACCTCAGCGGGAGGACCCTCCCTGGTTCATCGCGATGATGGCAGTGCATATCCCTGTTGCTCCTTGCGCAGGTCCTGGCTTGCAAGGCTGTTTCTCCCGGCTGCCCTCATTATTCTCTTCCTCCGTTTTCTTCCTCCCCCACCCTCGTCCTCTCAAACAATGAATCCCCTTCCTCTTCCTGCTGTGGACACTCGATTCGTGTAAGTTGGATCCTTGGGCACGGCGCATACCAGCGGCCTGCGCACGTTGTCCAGTCGTGCTGGACGTCATCATACGTTTGCAGCGTCAGTTGTGGCTCGGGGCCTCGCGCACACTTTTGCTTCGGCGGCTAGGCAGAGTAACTGCGCTGGCGGAGGGCCAACTGGACGGGGGGGCCGTTGTAGCGAACTGAGGAGGGGGCAACACGGAGAAACGGCCGAACGCGGGGGGGGAGGGTAGCGGCCTCGCGCACGCACATGGCGGGCTCCAGAAAGGTCCTTGCCTTCGGAGACTGAATGGGTTAGTGTTCCTTCCTCGGCGGAAGGCGGCAGAAGGTTGGCGGAAGCCCGCGGCAATAAAGCGGGGTCGGATCCGCCAGCGGAAGGCCGGCAGTAGCCGGCTGAAGGAAAAGATGCACACCCAAGAGGCGACATTTGTGTGTGATTCGGGGCTTCCAGAACGGCCCGTCTGCTACGCAGAGGGCGAGTGCCGTCGTAGCCATGATGTCTGACTTCCTACTGCCTTGCCCTTGCCCTCCTCCGCCTGAGCCCACAAGGAGGGGAGAGGGGGGGATATCGCCCCCAGTCGAAGCTGGCCGCGATGTGCACGCCTTGGGCTTGCCAGCAGGCAGGGCGTCATTGGCGCTCCGATTTTTTCCCGTAGCCAGTTTGGCTCATGTGGTATTCATCTTAAACCAGTTTGGTTGCAGCGATCCCGTCGTGTACCACATTTCGAACATGCATAAAAAAACGTTCGGAGCTCCGCGCGGATTTCTTGCATATGCGCTGGGCCTTCCTGGCGGTGCCTCTGTCGCAGCCCCTGGCGCGCTTTGCGCGCCAGGGAGGGGCCCCCAGCGTAAATCCAAGCACTCTGTGCAGAGCTGTCGATGATCCTCAGAATGTCTGTTACCCCATTGTGTGTATTGCCCCGTTTGGCTCCGCCGATAGCTCGCTGCTCGTGTCGATTCTTCTTAGACCGCTGGTGTCGTATTGAAGGGCTTCGGTGGACAAGCATACGTTGGTGCTGGCACACGTTCTGAGGATCATCGAAGTTCCGACGGCTCATGTTCGGCACTACCCAAACGTACGAATACAATGTGTGCGTCGCTCCCCCAGGGGCGACGCTCTCGCCAAGAAATCTTGTGGTGTAAGCTCCGTGGCGGGCGCATTCTGGCCACACCGCTCGGGAAGCGATGTACTGCAATATAGTCATACTGCATGTTCGGGTCGGGCGGGGGCCTCCGAGGAAGACCTGTAGTACTAGTACGTCTTTGCGCGCCTCATCTGTGCAGTTGTTCCTTCCTCCTGAGCCAGCGGCGTGCTCACGTCGTCCAGCCGCTCTGGACTTCATCGGACGCGGCAGCGCCTCCCCTCGCAGGAGGCGCGAGCGGGCGCGCGGCGGCGCCCGAAACCCCCATAGGTAGAGTCGTCAGCTGTGGCCTTGGGCCTCGCGCGCACATTCGGCGGTGGGCGGGAGAGTGGTGGGGGGGGGATGCGAGAAGGAGAAGGCCTTCTCAGAAGGCGGCGAGACTTCTCAGAAGCCCTCGCGCCTTCTGAGAAGTGTTATGTGTCTTCGGGGAGGGGCCAGAAAACTTCTCAGAAGGCCAGGCAACTTCCGAGCCTTCTGAGAAAGCCTGCCCCGACACATATGCGAAGAATAAAAGAGGCATACATGTAAACTTCCGACGGTCCGCGCGGATTCGTTGGATCTGCGCTGCCCCCCCCCCCTCCCTGGCTCGCGGAGCGCGCCTAGGGCGGCGCTTCCGGCGCCTCCAGGAGGGTCAAGCGCAAATCCAAAAATTCCGCGCGGAGCGTCAGAAGCTTATGTTTACGCCGTTCCGTTCTCTCCTCCTCCACGTTTGGCGCGCTCTAGAAAGGTCCTCGCGTTCGAGCGATCCCGTCGTGTACCAGATTTCCCGCCTTGGAGTCTCGGCCCATTTCATGAGGCGCGTTTTTCCCGCCCCGACTCGTCGTTTCACGGCCCCGGCTTGGCGAGAGCCTCCAGAGGCCGATATTTGTAAAACAAATCCGTCTTGTTTTTGTTCCAAGACGTTGGATATCCCGGGAGTTCTCGCTCGCCCACGTCGGAGCGCGGCGGTGGCGGAGCTCGGGCGTGCCGCGTGCCGATGATCCCCGCTCGAGGGCCCTCGGCAGCGTTTTTCTGGCGGGGCGCGGCGAAGCGCGACAGAGCACAATGTTTTTTTGCGCGAGGTCCCCCGATGTGGCTAGCAGGAACACACGGCTCCCTCCCTCCTCCTTGCTCCCTCCTCTTTGTTCTCGGCGTCGTCCTCCTCCCTCCTCCCTCCCTCCTCCTTCCTCCCTCGTCCCTCCTCCCTTCTCCCTCCTCTCTCCTCCCTCCTCCTCTTCCTCCTCCTCCTCCCCCTCCTCCTCCTCATGCTGCTCCTCTTCTTCTTCTTCTTCTTCTTATTATTATTATTATTATTATTATTATTATTATTATTTTATTATTATTATTATTATTATTATTATTATTATTATTATGTTTCTTCTTCTTCTTCCTCCTCCTCCTCCTCCTCCTCCCTCCTCCTCCCTCCTCATCCTCCCTCCCTCCCTCCCTCCTCCCCTCCCTCCTCCTCCCTCCTCCCTCCTCCCTCATCCTGCTTCTCCTCGATATCCTCCTCCTCCTCCTCCTCTTTCTCCTCCTCCTCCACCTCCTCTTTCTCCTCTCTTTCTCCTCCTCCTCCTCCTCTTTCTCCTCCTCCTCCTCTTTCTCCTCCTCCTCCTCCTCCTCCCCCTCTTCCTCATCCTCCTCCTCCTCCTCTTCCTCCTCCTCCTCCTCTCCTCCTCCTCTTTCTCCTCCTCCTCTTTCTCCTCCTCCTCCTCTTTATCCTCCCCCTCTCATTTCTCCTCCTTCTCCTCCTCCTCCTCGTCCTCCTCCTCCTCGTCCTCCTCCCCCTCCTCTTCCGTAGCCATTTTGGCTCAAGCGGCCTGCTCCTTAACTGCCCAACCTCTCTCAGGGCGCCCGGTGGCCAGGCACCGAGGGCGGGCGCCCCCCTGGTCATTGGCGGCCGCTCCTCTCGGTTCCCGTGTCCTTCTTTTCCCTCACCGACATTGAGGCGATGCGCCAGGCCTTGCCGTGGCCCGGGCGGGCTCCTGCTCCGACTTCCTCTGGGGAGAGCGGGGAGAGCCCGCCGCCCCAGGCACCAGCACGGCCGGCTCCAGCGTGCCTGCAGCCTCTCTCGTGCAGCGTTGAATCTCTCACCCAGCAGTTGGATCGGGGGACCCAGAGATCAACCACCAGATATCGGGAATCCAGGGCCCGATGTTGCAATCTGGAAAAAATCAAGGACTTACAGGCAGCGCATGCAGATTTTGCGAAGCAGACGATGGATTAATTCGCAACTACCAGTTCTATCCAGGAGCAGGCTCCCTTGCAGGCCATTTAGGACCTTTTGATTGCTGAGCGCGAGTTGAAGGAGGTGTTGGGGGTCACTGAGACGATGAAGGAGGAGTTAGCAGCGTTGGGGGATACTCAGATCTGCGCCCCCGTTACACCTCATGCTGATGATGGTTACTCACCAATAAGGCTCTCCAGAAGTTTGAGATCAATCTAGAAGCAATCTATCTTGCGTGGCGAGGACAAGCGCACAAGTGTCATGGTCAGGCACCTGCAATGAGTCTGCGCGAGGAGAGACCTCCTGGTGTTCCTGGATAAGTGCGGTCTCAGCACCCGGCTTTCGTATAGTCCACATGTGCCGTGCAAGAAGTACCACCGAAAGATGGGCTGGGCGGATTGAGCGTGCGTGAACTTCGCGTCTGCGCTGGACGTCCTGGTCCTCCACAGCGCAGCAGCGAGCGGGCGCTGGCGGGAGGTGTGCAGCAGCTTCCACTTGCAGTCGCCCGCCGTGGCCTTCGCCCGCGCGCAGAGCCCCGAGGATCTGGTGCAGCATCTCAGCCTGCCAGCCTTGCTCCAACAGCAAGAAAAGAGATCTCCCACGTTTGTATATGGTAGGTGCCCCCCCCCGGTGTTCCGCAGCGGGAATTCAGCAACGTGTGCAGTAGGCACGGCAAATAAAACATTGGCTTGCCAGTAGGTGCGCCACGGAAGTTTCTTATCCCCCTATGGTCTGCAGGGCCCAAGGAACCTTGGGACACCTCAGGGAGCTCCGAGACCGACGACCAACGTGTCCCTCGATTTTTTCAGTCTAAAATCCCAGCTTCCTGGTTGGATTTTAACATGTAGCCTTACTTCGTGAACCTGCGCCGATGACGTTGGAGCCCTTGGCGACCCTCAGCGCACTGCTTCACGTACCGAAGGGCTCCTGTGGGGTAACGCACGTTAGCGTTGACAGGTGCATTTGGGACCACATCCTGCTCTTCCTGCGCTACAGATGCGCACCATATTGTAACATCGGCCTGCCAGCAAGTGCCCACTGAATTGTCGTATCCCTCGATGGCCCCACGGAATCAAGATGCCCTGGGCCGGCTCAGGGCACTCAGAGATCGACGAAGCATATGCCCCACATCTTCCGACATCGAGATGTCTGATTATATGCTCATGCTGTAACACACGGTCGCGTTGACAGGTGCATTCGGGATCACGTCCCTTTTTTCCTGGCGTACAGGTGCGCAGCGAGCTGTACTCCGCGTCCCGTTCTGGTGCGACCGCGTCGTGCCCCAAGTCGCGGCGCGGCGACAAAAAAAAAAGGTCAGGGCCACTGGCGGCATACCTCTGCCCAAGAGCGTGGCTCGAAGTGCTGGTCGAGCCGCGCGGTGGTGGTTCGCGGTTCGAGGATCGCACAGCGAGGCGCAGAGGGGTCGGGGCATGTCACGTATGGAACACAATTGGCTCATGCGCAGTTGTTTTGCCATGATCATGTGAGGCGTTCCAGAAAGAGTCTTGCCTTCGAGGATCGACGAGTTGTCATCTCTTCCGCGCCGGAAGGCGGCGGAAGGGCCGCGGAAGTAACACGAGGCCGTTTCCGCCGGCGGCAGCCGGCGGAAGGCCGGCGGAAGGCGGCGGAAGTAAAAGATTCGCCACCACGAGATGAAAACGTTGGGTTCAGGGTTTCCGAAGCCGCCCAGATTGGGCACCGCAGCAGGAAGCGTGCACCAAGCACACGAAGCTCAGAATTGCGCACAGCTAACCGCCGCAGGCACCATCGAACGCCCTGCTGGTCCTCAAGTTGGGTGCAGCTCCGTGAGGCACGACTCCAACTCTGGTCCCCAGGGCCGTGCCGAGTGGGGGACAGCAGCAATGGTATGGACCAATGGATCACACGTCGACCGCCGAGATCCCCGAACCTGAGGGGCAAGGGACAACGATACATAGCGGGGACTGGCTCAGGGGCGAAGGGGGAGGACATCGACCTGAAATCGAAAGATCGGCGATAGGTCCCCGAGAGCAAAGCCGCACGTTCCTGGGCGGGGTGGGGGTGGCCAGTGGGGTCGATGCATCCCCCCCAGGGCATATCCCTCCCTACCATTGCCCCTGAGAGGAGGCGCCCAGCTTCTCGCCCTCAGCTGAAGCTCCCTGTGCCGTCAAAGAGGGGGGCGACGAACGAACAACGCACACACACAGACACACACACACACACGCCAGACACACACACACACACACACACGCACACACACACACGCACACGCACACGCACACGCACACGCACACGCACACGCACACACACACACACACACACACACACACACACACACACACACACACACACACACACACACACACACACACACACACACACACACACACACACACACACACACACGCACGCACGCACACACACACACACACACACATACACACACGCACACACACGCACACACAGACACACACACACACACACACACACGCACACACACACACGGATACCCTGAGCGGGGGTCGGACTGGCCATGTGTATAAGTGCGGGTGGTCGGACCCTGGGGGAGGCCCCCGGTCGAACGGGGACCCCCATCCGACAACACGCACCTCTACAGGGGGGATATTCAAAAATACACAAAATAGCCTGGGTATGACTTTTCCAATATTTTTCGACAACTTCTAACGTTTGTTAAAGTATTTTTGATGTTTCCTCCAAAGTCCGCCTGTAGGGGGACATGTCCGACCTAACTGAAGCCCCTTGTGCTGTCCAAGAGGGGGGAGGGGCTGACCCAGGGCGTCGCAGGGAGTTGGCCTCTGCGAGGCGAGGGTGTGCCCCCCCCCCCCCCCCCAGCGCGTGCCACGGGCCGCCCTCCACGCGAGGCCGTCCTGCTGCAGGCCGCCGGGAACTACACCAACGAGCAGTACTGGCGGGGAGGGGAGCTCCTCGGCGGAGGTCTGCGGACGACCGGCATCAGGAACAAAGAAACGCCCAATGAACTGTAGACCCGGCCGACACACCCCGAAAGGTAGACCCCCGCCCTTCGCGCGCGGTCTACATTTCAAGGTCCTCCAGGTCGGTGTCTACATTTCAGGGTGCTCATTTCTAGCGAGGGTCGACATTTCAGGGTCCGTTTGGTCGGGGTCTACATTTGAGCCCCCTTGCGCGGGTCTACACTTTGAGACCCCACTCGCGGGTCTACATTTGAGGGGCTGTAAGCGTTTCGCTGATGGTACGCACCGTAACGCGTTGGCGTCCCCCGAGGCGTCGTCAGTCGTCGGCCCAGGAATGGTACACTGCACAGTTCTTCGGGCAGTAAGGGCCGAGACACTATGCACCATACCGCGCTGGAGCGGGGCCTAAAGGGAATCCAAGCATGGTATTGTGCATGGGCGCGCCGCTCTCTGAGGAGGCAGGAAGGGTGGGAGAGCCCAGGCTGGAATTGGCTGTGGGGTTCTGAGGTGGCCCAGTCCTGGTTCCGGCCAGCGGGAAGGAGGGGGTTAGGTTCGAGGTTCTGGGCTCGGGGATGGTTTTTAATGTTTTCTGTCTCATGGGACCGTTTTCGGGACCCGGGATTCTCAAACACCGATCCAGGGTGAAAAGTTGCACCAGATGGACCCCGGGAGGCGCCAGGGTAACGTTTTTGAGCGGATTTGGCTCGCTCCCCCCTCCCCAACTGATTTTCTGAGGTCCCAAGTTCAGACCCCCCAGCCGCCTTCGCAGGGGCGAGCTTTCCGCGCATTTGCAGGGGAGCCTCGACCACAGTCCCGAGGCGTATGAAACAGTCACGTGAGTTGCCCCGAGCGCCACGTCGCAGCCCCGAAACTTTTTCGGTCAATTGAAGTTTTGAAACACGGACAGTAAGTTATCACGCAGTCTTCGAAAACACGGCCCGAAAGTAGCGCAAGGTCTCTTCGAAGTCGGCCCCTTCACGTGAAACGACCTTGAAAGTTCACTTATAGACTTGACACTGAGATAGCGTGAAGCGCGACGGTACAACGCATGTTGTACTAAGAGCGTGTACTAAGGCATAACAGGCGTCATAGCCTATAGCCCCGGCCCCCCCCCACATAACGTAACGCCCCCCCCCTCCCCCCCCCCAGTGCGCCCCAGGCACTGCCGCACATAGGCGTCCGCATGGGAATCCGCATAGGGGTCTGGTCCGCAGTCGTCGTCGTCCTCGTCGCTCGTCGCTCGTCGCTCGTCGCTCATCGTCGTCGTGCGCGCGGACTCGGCTGGAGCCTGTTTTTCTTCCGGGCCGATGACGGCTACACAGCACCGCTCCGCGTGCAACCGCGTGCAACACAGCGCCAGTGTCTGCCACAGTGCCTGCGGGCACCACCGCGCTGGTGTACACCACAGCGCCTGCGTACACCACATCAGCCGTGTGCAACACAGCACCAGTGTACACCACAATGCTTGCGTGCATTACAGCGCCTGTGTACACAACGGCGCCCGTGTGCACCACAGCAACCGTGCGCAACAGAGCACAATTGTTGCATATAGAACTTTAGAAGGAATCCTTATGATAAAATGGAGCGCCTGTGGATTCCACAGAAAACAAATGTTTTGGGTAGGATTTGGAAAGGAATCCTTTAAGAAAAATGAGCGCCGCTGGAATCAACGAGTCCTCCCTCATCATCCTAACTCCTCCCTTATGTGTACAGGAGGCCCCAGCAGAATTGGCCATCCCAGAACCAAGTGGACTGATTGAATAGAGCATTCCGCGGTGCGCGCTGAGATGTGCACGTGCGCTGTAGCGCCGACCCGCACGACAGGTAAAAAGGGTGAGGGAGGAGGAGGAGGAGGAGGAGGAGGAGGAGGAGGAGGAGGGTGAGGAGGAGGAGGAGGAGGAGGAGGAGCAGGAGCAGGAGCAAATGGAGATGGAGGTGGAATTGGAGGAGGAGGGAGGAGGGAAGAACGTCCCATTCTATTCGTAACACTTTACTGGCGTGGTGTTTAGCTGTCCGCAGCGGATCCTCACTTACATGCTCCTTCTACATGTCCTGTGCGCGCAGGTGCTGTGGTGTACACCAGCGTTGCGTTGCACGTGGATGCAGTGCTGTAGACAGGCGCTGTGGTGTGCACAGGCGCTGCGGTGCACGCAAGCATTGTGATGTACACAGGCGCTGTGTTGCACATGGTTGCTGCGGTGTACACATTCGCTGTGGTGCACACCGGCGCTATAGTGCACGCAAGCATTGTGGTGTACACAGGCGCTACGTTGCACACGGCTGTTGCGGTGTACGAAGGCGCTGTGGTGTACACGCGCGTTGTGGTGCAGGCGAGCACTGTGGTGTACACAGGCGATGCGGGGCAGATCGCCGCCTACATGCTGCTCCTACTTGGCCTTGATCATTCTTAGGCATTCCTGGACGCCGCCAGCGCGGAACATCACGTCATCTGGGCGGGGAGGGGCGGGGCCGATGACGGCCGCCATCCCAGAAAGTAGGAAACAGGTTCATGTGGTGCCAGAGCTAGACGGCGGGGGGGCTTGGGGGCGTTACGTGTTCCCCCCCTGCAACGCCAATTGTAGACGAAGGTACAGAAGCGCGCTCTGATCTGAACTTTAAAAAAGTGGCCAAATATTTCGCAGTTGTCGACAAGCCGAACTCAAAATACCACAATGTCCTGTCTCTGCGGGTCGGCCAGCCAGCCGTGCTCTGCGTCCAAATTCCTCCTAGCTCGTCCACAGACAGAGTCCTAGGAGCTCTAGCGCCTGCATCTCAGGGGTCTGGTCTCCGCCAGGGCACTCCATTCAGTGCCAGCGGCACGGTGGCGGGTCCGTGATTGGTCGGTGCACCTGTTCGGATGGCCATTCAAGTGTTTCGGTGGTGCGACGAGCGTGTTACAATGCGCGCGCGCGTGAGTGGCCCCAGGACCTGCCCCGAGGCTTTGGCAGCCCTTTTTGCGAATGTCCGCGTATGGCGCAAAGCGATCTTCCAGATCGGCATGAGGTCCCGCATTCTGTAGACCAATGGGCGACGGCTCACCACAACGCCGTTGAGAGCATGCTTTTGTCGCGGAGGCCATGGAACTGCCCACCTGCTTGCTACAAGTGTATGCACTACGGTGGGGACGTTCGTTAGGGAATGTGCCCAGGAGGCTGCCGACCCTCGAGGGTTCCTTATCTGATGAAGGCGGCGGTGACATCCGTGGCCGATCCTCGATTGGAGTTTCACGGGCTTCCAGACCCTGGATTCCTTATCGCAGGATTTCTTGTCCAATGCCCCCCACCGTATGCGTGTTGCCCGCCCGGCGCCAGTGATGGTCCACGCAGAGGGCACTTGCAAGGCATTGGTTTTAGGGGTCGCAGGACGGCGCGACAGCAGATCGGGCACGACATGCTGGCGCTGGTTAACGACACGCTCAGGCTCGCCGGTCCCTCCTTCAGGGCCCTCATTCGACCTCTGCCGATTTGGAGTTTCACAGCGGTTCGAGCCTTTGTTCGCACTCGTTGCCAGGGGATGGCAGTGACTCTTCAATGGAAGCGCTTCTAGCCCCCTTGAGAGGAAGCGGATTCGATACGCAGTCGGAGCGAGGGATGTTGCGGATGGGTGCTTGCGGTATTTCATCCAACGTTCGCCTGCCCCTCCATTTGGTTAAGGTGCAGCTCCAGAGGGGCTGTTCTTGTCCTTGCCGTTTGAACTTCTGGTGGAGCGATTCACGCTTTACACCGTCTGGTCTGGCCGAATCTGGCCTACTCTGGCTGCTCTTCCGGTCTGATCTTGCTCAGTGTTTTGGTTGTCTGGCGTAGCCGTCCCCCAAAGTACACGCCAGAACATGTCAGGAGTTGCCATGCAAGTCCCTCTGGGAACGTCGAGCTGCGTGCCTGTCCTCGCGCTTAAAGGCGACGACCTTCTCGCGTCCAGACAGAGCATACATGACATGTGGAGAGGAGGAGGAGGACGAGGAGAAGGAGGAGGAAGAAGAGGAGGAGGAGGAGAAGGAGGAAGAGCAGGATCAGGAGCAGGAGCAGGAGAAGGAGCAGGAGGAGGAGGGTGGTCATGCTCAGAGAATATGGAATTGCTTGTTCACTGCTCCCGTCGCAGCGATCCACCGATTCGTGTCTGGAGTCCGCATTTGCAGGTTTGCACCCGCCGTTTCAGACATGTCTACGATCTGTCGCAGCGATCCGCCGATTCGCGTCTGGAGTCTGCGTTTGCATGCTTGCATCCGCCTTCCCAAACATGTCCCACGCACGATAGAGAGAGAGAGAGAGAGAGAGCGCAAACACACCACACACGATATACATATATGTGTAGCTAAACATAAGCTTACCTTTTCTTCAAAAACTTACACAAGTTAGTGATTATTTGCCGTGGCCCTTTAAATCCAGTGTTGTGAGATGTCCGGTCCCGGGGGTGTATCGGGGCCGCTGTGAGGCCATCTTTGGAGCTCGTTGGCTCGTCTTGGGGTCTTCTTGGGCCGTCCCAGGCTCGTCTGGATACGTTTCGGGGGCCCCTCGAAGGCTGTCTTTGGGCAGTCTGGAGGCCCACTGGGCCGTTTGGGGGCTCTGGACGGCTGCTCGGGTATGGCACTACCACAAATCGGGTATAGCCAGGGCCCCGGGGTAGGGGAGCCGATTAGTGATAGGGTACAGGAGCGAAAAAAGCCAATACCAGAGTCATGTAATTAGGTCTGCCGTAGCTTGTATTTTTCGTGTGACGGCAGCTCCAGTCAATGGGATGGGGCGGGGGAGGTGTCCCCAAGCACGAATCACTAAGCCAGGCCCCAGAAAATCCAGACTTGAAAATCATTCACTCATGCCAGACGCAGGAGCGCGTGGGCGAAAGAAAACAATGCCAGCCTACTCTCACCGCTTTGCGGGAGTTGCGGCACGACAGCGGTCGTTAATTAACATCGTGCGTTGTAGGAGGGGGAAAGCGAGGAGGGCCAGCGCGCTGCGGCGCGCCAGTTCGTCGACTGCGACGGCTAGATACCTCGACAGCCGAACGCGGTCACAGAGACCGGCCTCAGGACATGGGGAGGCGGCGAGCTGCGCGGGCAGCCGACCACCAAAGAGAATGGAAAAAGCCGTGGGCTGTGTCCGAACAGATATGGGCCTCAGGAGTTCTCGGCGCACTTCCACAGAGGTGCTTCCGCATCCTAAGCCGTCTCCCTGACGGCCTGCGAGGGTCCCGAGACGGCCTCTCGGAGGCCGAGGCTGACGAGGAGAGTTGCGAGCAGCGGAGCATTCACGAGGTCGGAGCCCATGGGGTCGAAATCCTAGACCTCCGACGATACAAGCTGCCCTGATACGCCCGCTTCGAAACGCAACACGCACAGTTTTCAGGTCGTCCGTGTTAACCCGTTGCGCGTTGGCTCGGCACGTGTTGCCCCCCTTTTGGCGAACGTGTCGCGCCAGACCTGAGTTTCTGGTCTACGTGCTGAGCTCCGGGTCAGCACGTTACGAGTTGCATGTCGCGTACTTGGGCAGCAAAGGCGAGCAACGGTGGACGTAAGAGGTCGGAGCCCATGGGGTGGAAATCGTTCACCTCCGACCATCTCTCTCGCCACAGCAATCATACACACAGACACCCTCCAGTGGATCGCTTCTGGGCCTGAGGAGCGCGTGGCGGTGTATAAATCATTGAGAGCCAACGGCTTTCTGCACCGCCACCTTCCCTGAAGGGACATGCAAGTTCGTCGGAGGGCGTTTCTGTATATATATATATATATACATGTAAATCTATGTATATACATATATACAAGATCTTACTGGCTCGTTTCGCTTCGCTTTTAAAATCTTGATCGCATGGCGCCAGAAAGGCGCGCTGCGACGGGCAGTCGTCGCTGCCGCGGTGCGCTTCGTCAATGGGGCCTATAGGCCTCGTGTGGCTCATAAAGCTAGTCTTTGATCATACTTAGGGCTCTTGCGGCTCGTCTGGCTCAGAAAGCCACCCTCGCCCGACTTGGTGAACGCTTGCTTGACCAGAAAGTGGCCCCGAGACGGCACCGAGACGCCCCATGGACCCAGCATTTTGACGACCGTTTAAAATTCCGGGTGCTGGGGGTCTCTTCGGGCCATTTTGGGCTGCTTTAAACCACTCTGGGGCCTCGGAGAAGGCCCCGAGAGGGCCCCGAGCGAGCTCAAGAGGGGTCCAAGAAGGCCCCAAGAGCGGCTCTATGTGGGCCCTGGCACCCAGCATTTTGACAGCTGCTGAAAATGCCGGGTGCGGGGTCCCTTTTGGAGCCCTCCTGGGGCTTTTTGGGACCGCTCTTGGGCTACTCTTGAGGTGCCTGGGGCTCGGCGAAGGCCCCGAGGGAGCCCCAAGCGGGCCCAAGAGAGCTCCAAGAAGGTCCCAAGAGCGGCCGAAGAGCACTGCAGGATCATGAAGCGCTGTGGGTCTCTTCCTTGGCCTCTCGTGCAGCGCTTGTGGGTCTCTTCCTTGGCCTCTCGTGGGCCCTGGAGAAGTCTTTGAGAGAGCCCCACGACAAATTCCATGGGGCCTTTGAGAAACCTCGGATAGAGCCCCACGAGCCCTCCCAGATGGCATCTAAGGGCCTCGGGCGCGTGCGGGTCATTGGGCACAGGGGGCTCGTCAGACTGAATGGGCTCGGAAGCTCGTAGTGCGCAGGGCTCGTGGGGCCCGTGGTGCTGGTCGGGCCGACAGGCCTCATAGGTCCCGCGAGGATCATTTGGGGGTCATCTGGTGGGTCTGTCAGGGCTCATTAAGATCACAGGACTCATAGGTCTCGTAGGGCTCATAGGGCTCTTAGGCTTCATATGACTCTTAGGGCTCATAGGCCTCATAGAGCGCGTAGGTGTCATGGGACTCATGAGGGCTCATAGGGCTCACGAGGCTCATAGAGCTCATAGGGCTCATAGTGTTCATGTGGCTCGTAGGGCTCATAGGGCTCATAGAGCGCATAGGTCTCATGGGACTCATGAGGGCTCATAGGGCTCATGGGGCTCATATGGCTCCCAGGGCTCATCGGGCTCAGAGGGCTTATATATGTCATGGGGCTCATAGGGCTTGTAGGGCTCAGATGGCTCAGAGGGCTCAGAAGGGGTGCATAGGGCTCGTAGGGCTCATAGGGCTCATTGCGTGCATAGGGCTCGTAAGCATCATAGGGCTCACAGGGCTCATCGGACTCATAGGGATCATAGGGTTCATATGGCGCTTAGGGCTCATAGGGCTCACAAAGCGCGTAGGGCGCATGAGGCGCATGAGTGTTCATGGGGCTCGTGAGGCTCATAGGGCTCATGAGGGCTCAGAGGGCGCAGAGGGGCTCATATGTCCCATAGGGCTCAGGAGGCTCATATGGCTCTTATGGCTCATAGGGCTCACAGGGGTCGTAGAGCTTGTATGGATCAAAGGGTTCATAGGGCTCATAGGGCTCGGGGGGGCCATATGGGCTTATAGGGCTCGTGGAGCTCATAAGGCTCATGTGGTGCATATGGCAAATCAAAACCATCGTGCTCAGAGGACTCATAGGGCCCATCGGGTTCATAGTGGTCATGTGGCTCATAGGGCTCGTAGGGCTGATAGGGGCTCATGAGGCTTATAGGGCTCATAGGGCTCACGGGGCTCAGAGGTTTCATATGGCTCGCATGGCTCATAGGGCTCAGAGGGCTGACAGGGGCTCATACGGCTCGTAGGGCTCATAGGGGTCATGGGGTGCAGAGGGCTCATCAAGCTCAGAGGGTTCATAGGGCGCATAGGGCTCGTAGGCCTTATGGGGGTCATAGGGCCTATAGGGATCATAGGGTTCCTATGCCTCGTAGGGATTAGAGGGGTCATAGGGATCATAGGGATCACATTGCGCATCGTGCTCGGAGGGCTCATAGGGCCCGTTGCGCTCATTGGGCTCATAAGGGGTCCCAGGGCCGAAGGTATGAACGTGGCGCTAGAGGAATAACCAAGGCATCTAAGAAACAACCTTGCGGACATCAATGAGTGTGGCTTCTCGGGTCGGCTTTGTTTGGGGCTCTTTTGGGCCGTCTGGCGGCTCTCGTGGCCCGCTGCGGGACCTTCTTGGGCCGTTCTGGGGGGCGTGGGCCGTCCTGGGGCCTTCTTGGGCCCTTTCGGGAGCCTCTTGTGGCCTTCTGGGGCTGTCTTGAGATCTTTTGGGGGTTCTCAGGGGCTCCATGTGGGCCGTCTTGGGGCTGTCTTGGGCCGTGCTGGGGCTCTTTGGGGCTGTCTTGGGGCCCTCTTCGGGACTTCTTGGGCCGCATTGGGGCGATCTTGGGGCCTGGCTAGGCCGCCTTGGACGCTTTGAAGACCAGATAAAGGAATATGCGGAACAGGCATGTTGTTTTTTTAGGGACTGGGGATTATCTGTGCCTCGTGGGGATCCCCCTGGGGGGCCTCTTGCGGCGTCGTGGGGGCTTCTTGATCCGACTTGAAGTCGTGTTGGGCCCTCTTT